TATAAAGTCTAAAAAACATGAATGGAAGTCAATGGAAGGTCCCCACGGGGGTCAAGAAACAAACGTGTGTGTGTGTGTGTGTGTGTGCGTGCGTGCGTGCGTGCGTGCGTGTTTGTGGGGCGAAGTCAGGGTGTGAGGGCAAAACTGTATTGCACATTTGACACTGGTAGTATATTTTGCACTTTTTAATAAGTGAAACCATGGTTCACAGGTACACTGTAATTTTTTTAAAAAGTCAGACAGAAGCACTTGATGGTCCAGAGGGGAAAGGGCAGATGCTCCAGGACCACCTGACGTCTCTCTGTGCACGTCCATGGCTGCAGAACTGCYAAGACTTCTGGTTAACCAATTTTGCAAATCCATGGTTCTGCAGGKTTGTCTTAATTTTCCTCTGGCTCTGGGTCAGACTCTGACTCCAACATAYATGGCTGGATGGACAAGTCTTCTCTTGTTGACACATTTTAATTAATTTGTAAATAAAAATTTCTGTGAGTTAGCAGCAAAACATTACTTGTCTTGTGGGGATCAGCATTACTGCTTCACCTAACTGACAGCACACCACATGAAATGTGGAAGTCTGTCAAAATTTAATTAAAAGTAAAAAAAATCTTACTTTATTAAATTATGAATAAATGTGTGAACATGGAATTTCTTTTTCTTAATTGTTTGTGTTTGAGTTCAGGTTTATGCACAGTTTTTATTGGTTTTATCTTAGATGTGAAGACAGCCGATCTGTTCAGTTCAGCACAAAGTGAGAGCTTCAGCCGGAAAAAAAAAATCTAATTTAATTGAGACACAAGGGTTTAGTCAGGAGAGTGAGTGTAATGAAATAATTCATAAAGCAAAAGATGAACTTGTTAGACTGCTTTGTTTTTCTACCCGTTGGAGCTTTTCATTCATCCGCACTCTCATGTCTTGTGTATTACAAAGCCTCAAGCCAACAAATGACACAAGACTCTTTTGTTCTCAGAAACAAATAGAAATCCCTTTGAATGCTTCTTCTCAGAAATTTCTCTTGTTTAGGATAGACACGGCGTTTTTTTATTTATTCATTTATTTTTAATTCAAACCAGTTCTGCATGCACATACTGAATATTTTGTGGTTTTGAATTACAACCTGCTTCCTCGCATTCGATGTACAGCAGCACTGGGGTCAGGAGGAGCACCATAAATMAGAAATTTCCTGACTGATTTGTTACCAGTCTGGACATTGATTTACAACAGTGATCTGTGGAAAGAAATATCCCAGATGCTAGCATGAAGACGGGAGTGTGCTGAAGGGGTGTAATCATATAGCGGATTGATTATGAGAAGAAGGTCAGAACCCTCTCTTACTGTTATTAAAACCATCTTTATGTCTGCTGTGTAGTATTTCATCTGGTATAGAGGGCAGAGCTGTGCAGGAGATTGAATGATGCAGTCATGTTGTGGTTCACCATAATAGTAGAAAGTATTTAGTGACAATGAAGGATGCAGGGAAATGYATGTAATGAAAAAGTCACTGGATTTGTGTAGGCTGTAGATTTATTCAGGTGCAATTATAACACAAGTACATTTGTAACCTTAAGTAATTATGTTCATCATTGCCATCACACATGCAATAGAATGATACATTATAAAGATATACAACACACTATCGTTAATGAAACCATTGCTACGCAGTACACATAGACATTTGATGGAATCAGCATTTATTCTATTATACTTATTTTAATCTATGAGTAAGAGCACAAGTTCAATTAATGCTAAGCCCTGACTTGACGAGAACCCAAGAACTCAAAAACAMAAGTTATTCATTTTTGATGTTTTCTAACTTAGCTTGATATAATAACTAACATGTTGTTCCGTTAATTTGTTGAGAAATATGTCCCGTCATGCATCTTGTCTGAGTAAATCTCACTATTTAGAAGAAAAACAAAGGGTGTCACTTCATATTTAAAACTATTAAAAATATGTTTTACATATCATGTTTTTTTACTTACTCTAGTGCCAAGTAGTAACATTGAGATCAGTTTGATTTTTTGTTTAGTTTTTTGTCCAATGAACACTCAAAAAACAGATTTAATGGATTTAATAATAGAACCAAGTATGTTAATTTGTTCCACTAAACTGAATTGCTTGATGAATTACTTTTAGTATGTGTAAAGTAAATGTAAAGATTAAGTGTAAAGCAAATAAATGAATCACATTTACTTAATTCAGTTGAGTGGAACCAGTTGACATGTTCCATGTTTTTTAAATTAAATCCATTATATCTGTTTTTTTTTGAGTGAAAGATGACTTTTTAATGAAAAAATAGAAAGCATACACACAAAATGTCTAATAATTCAACACAYGTTACCTAAACTCCAAACACTTCCTTAACTTTCTTCACTTAACAGAACTGTTAAAAACTTTAATTTAGAAAAAGCCTAATTTATAGGAGGACCTGAAGCTCAGAAAATCTGTTTGAAAGTGGTTATTAACTCAGATGAACTCTGAACATCCATCCATCCATCCGTCCGTCCATCCATCCATCCATCCATCCATCCATCCATACATACATCCATCCATCCATCCATCCACATATTATTTTTAAGTGACAGTTCTCTTAAGAGTTGCTGACTTAATATTTTAATAAAAAAAACATATTAGCCAAAAACCAATAAAAATGTATGTTGGCTACTGACTGCTCCGATTTCTGTCAGCCATAGAAAAACTGAAATTAACCTCTGCACCATGTAACCCAACATGCACACGTTTGGACTGTGGGAGAAAAGCCACTCATACATGCAACTTTTAGGATCAACCAACTGCACCACCTCACASTCCCAATATAAACATAGCATATTAATGTCCTTGCTGCTTCAAATGGCTGTCACTTAGATTTAGCTTCTAGCTTTGATTAAAGGATGCAGCCCAAGCGTTTTACAGAGCCGTTAATAAGGGGATTGTTAGTGAGGCTAACCTAACTCAACYTTTCTCTTTTGTCTTCTAGTAGCCGACTGTCGAGTCTTGGAGAGTTTGCAGAGATATTCCTCCATCCCCACGTACCTGCCTGTTAACTATCAGCTGCTAAACACTGACTTAGCATTTTTCCTGAAGGAGGCCAACCAGGACTTCATGAGGAACTCTAGCTTAATGACACGGACAGAGCCATTCTTCATCTACCAGGCCAGAAGTTTGCCTGCGGTGAACGCTAGCTATGGGCCTCTCTCAGTGGAGCAGCCTGTCCCTTTAGAACTSCTGCAGAGTCCCGGGACGTTTCCTCCCTCTTCAGTTTTTACCTTTAACTGGAAGGTGCAAACTTTTATCATGAATACCCAGATTCATTTGGCAAAGCCCAGAGTCCAGGTGCTGTTTTATGTTGCAGGCAGGGACTGGGACGACTACAGCACTATTGACAAACTGCCTTGTGTGCACATGTTTGCTTTCCATGAGACCCAGGAGGTACGCGGCACCTGCCAGCTAAGGGGGGAGCTGGGACTGTGTGTGGCTGAGCTGGAGCCCCTGGCCAGTTGGTTCAGCCCACCCAGCATAGTGCCAGGACGCCAGAGGAACGTGGAAGTGTCCGAGGGAACCCCAGTGGAGCTCTACTATATGCTGCAGACCACAGAAGCAGGTGATTGCCACTCAGAGGACAGAAAGGACAGCTTTACTCGCTCACATCAGGAGGGGATGTTCGGTTCCCGTACTTCCACACCGCTGAAGAGGATTGGGGGTGTGAGGCTTTTCCAAAAYCCCACTGAGCCCCCTCTCACTGAACACAGGCTGGATAATAACTTTATGGTCATGGTACCAGCCACTCCTATGAGACAGAGAGAAACTGTGTCTGCTTTTATCACCGTCTCCTCCCACTCCACTGTAGAGATGTTCACACTCAGGTAAGGATACTTTTCTTTTTGCCATTAATTCAGGCTCTGTTCTGTTTTTGTATTTTTTGTCACATTACTTCCTTCAAATTTGTGGCATTAGCCACACAAAACCTAAAAAAACATATATTTTAAATGACTATAATTGTTATCAACAATCATGAAACCAGCAGGAGCATCACAAAGTGTCTTTTTCTTCTGCTGCACTGCTTGATTTTTAGCCCTGCAAACTTTTAGCCTCCCTGCTCTCTGCAATCACCAATCACAATTTCCTTACTCTCATTTGCATATTTCTCCACCAATTTCCCTCAGGTCCAACAACAAAATCAGTTTAAATATGATTGATCACAGAAGGTGATCAATAATTGGTCTGCAGATGTGATGAGTGGAATAAATCTTTATTGATTGTGAYGTTTTCTGACAATATACAAACACAACACGCAGTCACACAAAGATGAAAGATGGTTTGTGTTGTTTTTATCAATATTGCAATGAGGAACAAAAACCCAGCAGACAACCAGAAAAGGTTCTTTTCTTTTTATTATTATTATTTTTTTTTAAAGTGATGCAGGCTTTCAGATGAACAAGCTTGCTGGGAAATGATACAATAAAACCCTGTGCATGGCCAAAAATAATGAAGTTAATAAAGAAATTTTATACATGTATCAACAAACATAGCATTTTAAATTAGGTTATTGTTATGATTTTTTTTTTTGCACCATGTCAGTGATTAAGGTGTGTCTTAGTTTTGGTTAACACCTTGACAAAAGGATTAACTCAGGTCATCAGGCACTTATTCATACTGAATGTTGTGAAGTGCAAGTTTATCTTTTGAGGGGAAATGACTTCTCGGTGCTGTCAGACCAAATTAAAATGGACAAATGAGACACTGTTTTAATTAATTCCTCTTCCAATGCAAATGAATATTCTGTTTAAAACAAATGTCCATTAGTGCAATGACAGATCCTAACCACACTGGTCTGGAATACAAAAACAACAACTGAGAACTGGGGTCAAATCAGTTTACCAACCTGGAAAACAAGCAGCGTTTTCTGACGAAGTAAATAGAAATGTCACGATAGAACATAGCTTTGATTTTTGTGATTTTTCTGCAGTTCTTCGCTAATGGTTGTTTTTGCAGAGAACATAAAAATGCAATAAATTGTTTGAAGTTTTAAACTGGAACCAAGGTGAACGTATTCGTTATGGCTGTAAAGTTGAATTCTCCAGACTTGTTTTTCCATTCATTCACTGACTAGTTGTCCAGAAGTGATAAGGCATTTCAAACTTGGTTTTTGTTTGTTTTTTTTCAAACTGTGAAATGATTTGCTTCCACAGGTAAAAAAAAAAAAAGGAAAAAAAAGAAAGGAACCAATCAGGCCGGCCACAGAGGTAAGCCTGCTGAGTTTTTCTTTGGCAGCGAGGCACACAGCAGGCGCAGGTTGGCCATCTGAGAATGATAGATATGAAAAGGCCTCTGTGTGGGCCAAAGTGATAAGGCTGTCCTCGCACACGCATTTGTTAGGATGCTTAATGACCAGAACGAGAAGACTTTGATCTCTGTATTCACAGGATCATTATCATCTCCGCACAACACACTTCTGGGTCAAACGCTGTTGGGCTGAACATGTGTATGCAAGGAGTCATTTCTCAGAAAGGTCTGATGCAACTTTAGTTTGTTGTATTTATAATTCATTAATTACCTACATAGATTTCTGTGTGTGTTTTCGGACGAATGAAGACGCATTTTCAAAAAAGTTATATTTTCATACTCACCTGATCCATTATGCAGAAAGGCCCTTGCTGTGATGGATGTTAATGAAAGCTAATTTCTCACATTTTTTAATAGCTAATCATCCGGCCAATTTACTGCTTTGTGGAAACTCAGTAGGGTTTTACTTCCTGTGGTATTCCTCTTTTGACATGCTTCTTTTAATTTGCTGGTTTTTGATTTGATTTGACCACCACTGTGTTAATAGCGTCTGTCACTCAGGAAGTGGAACATTTTTGTCATTTTTAACAGATTTTTTTATCAGGATTCGTCTTGTTTGTACGGAGCCCGCGAGGGGACATGGGAGATTTTTTTTCTTTTGCGTTCCCACTCAATAGTATTGCGTTACCTCGCAATACTTTTGCGTTACCTCGCAATATCGTTTTGCGTTCCCTCGCAATATCGTTTTGCGTTACCTCGCAATACTTTTGCGTTACCTCGCAATACCTTTTGYGCTCCCTCACAGAAGTAGTTTATCACTGTTGTGCCTGCTGGTTTATTAGCAAACTCACATGTTCACCATTAGCGAGTTAGCCTACTGCTTTGATTCAGCTTCAGAATGAATATATCACAAGCCACGCATGGAAGTATGTCATATGCCGATATTTTAACACAGCCACACAACATCAATGTCAATTCCACGAACTTGTGGTGACACATCCTGTTTTGGTAACCGGTTATTTCAAAATAAAATTCTGATTTAATTCAATTCCTATACAAAACAATCTTTTGCGTGGGAACGCAAAACAATATTGTGTGGGAACACAAAAGTATTGCGAGGGAACGCAAAAGAAAAAAAAATTCCCCCGTGTCCCCTCGCGGGCTCCGTATGTTTGTGTCTGAAGCTCTGTTTTTATTGGGGGTTTTTTTAGGCACAACTCACAAGTTTTGTTTATTGTTTATTTGTTTATAGGATGAGAATTATTTTTAACTGCTATCCAATAAGGGAAATCCTAAAAAAAATCCTATTTGGTCCATTCATTTATACTACTTATATAGAGCTAAACAATGATGTAGCCAGTTTTACACATCTAAACTRTATCTGTGAGCTCTAGAAACCAAAAAAGGAAACCATTTTACTGTTTCATTTCACCCTGATTCTGTTGCTGTTAAAGGTTGATCATGTGATGAAATGGTTAATAATGAAGAGGAAAATATAAACTGTAAAAAATAAAGTTACAAATGACATTTTATCCAGATGAATAATTTTTCTATTTCTGTTTCACTGATTTGAATGATCTTTCACCTCCTGGCACATAAGACAGCACTATTGTTTTTGTTTTGTTAAGATGGTGATGAAGTTCTTTTTTAATTATAATTTTTTTAATAAACAGTGAAACATATCTATTTAAAAAATCTACCCCAGCACATTTAAAAACAGAAGTACACATGAGCTACATGTCCCGTAACTCAACAAAGGCAAAAAGTTCATAATGTGTATTGTTCCAGTAGTGTTTTTTTACTAAAAGGAAAAAATGTAAGTGTTTGTTTTTGAGAATACATATTTACTTTTGTCTGCAATGAAACACTTTAAAATGTGAATGTATTGCCAATGGAAAGGTGGTTTCTGCGTATGCAATCGGAGGCTAAGAAAACAAAAACTTTACAGAAATGCAATTCCCTTTAAAGATTTTGTCAGATCAAAACGTAACAACTATTCAAACACATTTAGAACATATGGATTGAAATATATTCCAGTATATGACTTTTTATTTTCTGGTACAAGAGTTGCAGTTTAAAGTTTTAGAAAGTGTCCTTCATGCGCGTAGCCAGGGGTTGTCCATTTAAAATGTGTTGTTCCTAAATTACTGCATTTATTTTCAACAAACCAGGTTGTAGTTTTTCAGGAGCTGGGATAATGGTTCGTCATAAATTTTCTTCACGCATAGATTATACTGACATTAGACAAACACAGTGCAGACAGAATAAAGTATATTTCTAGATATGCTTTTTCACACAGCTCCTCTGGGTGGCATAAAGGTTTTGTGCTGCATTCAATGGTGAAACACTGTAAATTCAACTTGTGCTTATGTTGCACCCTTGAAAAAAAGTCAAAAAATTATTTTGTATTATATTATATTATATTATATTATTGTATTGTATTGTATTGTATTGTATTGTATTGTATTGTATTCGCTTTTGTGCAAATTTAGTTAAAAAAAACCATATCTTGATTGTAAATTGTGTGTAGTTCTCTGACATCACAGTACACAGTCATGAACTTTCTACTCCCATCATGCATTGCACTGCTCTTAAAGAGGCATTATTATGACAGAAATCCATAAAATAAAAACATAGTTTTATAACCATAAAATAAATGAAATGTGTTCAACCAAATATCAAATGAAATAAATGCTTGACTGATCAATATGCTTATAAWGCAAACATTATCACACTTGTAACATTTCTTCAGGGCTCTACACTTAATATTATACATTTTTGTAGGAATATACAAAAAATCTTCAGTGTTTTCTGAAAACAAAACAAAACAAAAATAAATCCAAAGTTATCCAAACAAAGCCGATGCAGATTCTTTGTCTGCAGAGTTTCATTTGCTTTTTCCTTCTTTGATATTACTCAGCTTTATTGTCCTGGGTCAGAAAGAGCTCAAATGAAATCTTGCTGTTAGTCTGTAGTAAAAAGTTATGTGTCCAACTCTTTGCACACTGGCACATTTTGCTCAGTTGTTATGGAGCCAGTTGGGAGAAATGCACTGAAAAGGCACTTAGGAGTACAAGATCATTAAATTTAATATCTAAGTAACGTATAAGCTGAAGTCATCAGTTTTATGTTTTCTGGTATCACTGTGCAAGCAGTTTATACTGGAATGTGTCATTGATAATTCATTGTTATTCTTTAGTATTATATGATTCATAAGCAAATCAAATGCAGTTGTGAAAAATACCTTTTTTACCCTCCATCTGTTGTAGACCAGAGACTGAGTACAAAAGAGAAACAGTGCTGCCGTACAGTATGAGTCATTTGATAAGGGTCATTACATGAGCATTGTCTACCCTGACTCTACTCAGACATTTTAACAATAGATTAGACAATGCATGTAACACATTTCTACACATTTCATGAGAGGTGAGCTTCTTACTAGCAGAACAAATCACTTTCTTCCCTGAATGTAGATTACATGAATTCAAAAATACAAAAATCTGCTRCAGTTGTCGCATTCGGAGTGGTTTTAAAAGCACTGCAGCTTAATGTTTGTAGTTTTCTGTCTCAAATGACAATG